CTTGCCCCTTACAGCTATGACTCTGGACTGAATTTTATGTACTTCTGTCTTGAGATCCTTGAATTCCCAGCTTCAACTCACACTGGAATTGCTGGCACTGCACCCTTGCTACTAGGTAATATCTGATCTTTCCTGACCATTTGAACTGCAGTCTTATCATTAAAACTGTTGCAACTTGCTAGGGTGATTATTCAGTCTGGAACATAACAGAAAAGGACAGAAGACCAGCCCATTTTTTTTTGTCTTAGCAAGACCATTAATACTTTCAATAATTTTCCCTCTTTTTTTAAGCAAGACTGCTGAGCCATTTTTGTCTCACCTCCAAAAAGCAATTTCAAATAGATGAAATTCTGATTCCATCTTCTGAAACCTAATGGTTTGATTTTTGGCTCAGTGTTTGCTTGTAACTCTTCTGTCTTTGGCTGCTGCCCATAATCTTGATCTCAGTCTGCTCTCAATGTGTACTTACATATTACTACTTTCAAGAGATTGCTACAACCACAAAAAAGTGATTGGGTTCCCTACAGAGAAACTTGATGTGTATAGATAAGCACCCTTTGTATCTTCATATATCTTTTACTTAGCCAAACACTCTTCTCAATTTTTGAATTGCTCACCAGTTATTTTCTCAAAGTCACCCAGAACCTTTGGGGGAACAATGGGCCTGAAAAACATCTGTGAGATGTTATGCAGTGTTTGCAGTGCATCTGGAAGATAAAATCACTTGGATTCTTTTAGGGTTAGATAGTTTGGGGCAAGTCCAGTAAAGAAGGCTTCATCTTGAGATGTTAACTGGGGTGACTCTGAGACTAGTAGATCAGGGGAAGTGAACAGGAGTTTTTGAGACATGCTAGAAGGCATAAACATAAAGAATCGCCAGGACAGTGGAAAGATCCAATACAAAAGCAATGATCAGATATGCATGGCTTAAATCTATTCCAAGAAACTAACTTGAGAAAGCATCTCAGGCTCCACCCAAAGAAAAAGCAAGGGAGGAAAAAACCACATCCAGACTTTCAAGATTGTATTACTATAGGCATTATAATAAAAGAAGTTTTAGACCTTTATGTTACTGGGGGTCTATTCTATAGTCCAGTGATCGTGAACCTTTTAGAGACCGAGTGCCCAAAAACCACCTCGCCCCAGCCCCGCCCCCACCTCTCCTGCCCGCAGGGCCACCCACCTCCACGGCCTGTCCCAACAGATTGCCCAGGCAGCCCAGCAGCGTCATGGTGGCCATGCCCTCTGTCTGCGCCCCGTAGCAGCATCTGTACATGATGGGGCGCAAGGGCGGAGTCTTGTCCCTGCTGCCTGGCTGCCATGTCCTTTGTTGCGCTGCTGTGCACAGGCTGTGCCTGGGGCAACTCTCCTGTGGGGGAGCTGCTGGTGAGGAAGGGGCCATGGGGGGTGGGGGCTGGGGCAATGGTGTGCATGCCCACAGAGAGGGCTCTGAGTGCTGCCTCTGGCACCTGTACCATAGGTTTGCCACCACTGCTATAGTCTATAGTCCATGGTCTATATGTAACCTACTCCATAGATCTACTCTACACACTATGGCTAGATTCCCTAGCTTTTCTGGTTGCAAAATCTCCCAGGGAAATAACAGTAGGTTGGGTTACAGCAGTGGTAAATATATTCTTGAGGAAAAGTTAGTATATCCTTAAATCCAAATTAGTTTATTTATTATTTGAGCAATTTTCTGATAAGTACAATTTATTTATTATAACAAAATCACCTTGAATAGGATGAAACACAAATCCCTATTTTAATTAAATAAAGGCTAAACACTTGTTATAATGAAATCTGTTCCAATCTGATTCAGGAAAAAACAGCTATTAGTTTTGATATTTCCCATTAGAGACAAGCACGAAACAAAAATAACAGTGACGTTTATGTGCAAAATAAACAGAGAACACAAAAGTGTTATAAGCGTTAAAAACCTCATATGAGTCTATCAGAAATGTCCCAGCAGAAAATACATGACTATTTGCCACACTGAACTTTGTATATGTTTGTAAAACGCCAGTATAGTGTTGAACCCGAGGCACTAATATTTCTAATCTAAGAACATGCTTCGTAAGGCCACTGTGATTTATTTGGAAGAGAAACAAATTTATATTTATTTCTGTATTAAGAAAGTATACTAAAATGAGCAGGCAAGAAAAATGGCAGAATCTACAGGCTTGGATAGGGCAAAAAAGTTAGACAGTGGTATCAGTGCAATTGAAGGCAACTCTTTTGTACTTGCATACAACACTGACACACATACAGATAACCCTTGACTTCTAACCATTCATATACCGTAGCAACTAAACAACACTGAAAAAAGTGACTTATGACCCATTCTTGCACTTATCACTGTTGCAGCATCCCCATGCAACCAGCATGTATTTTTTACAATGGCAGTGTCTCAGAGTCATGTGATTGCCATATGGAACCTTCCTAGCCAGCAGTGGGGATTCACTTAATGACATGGTTCACTTAACAGCTGGGCCTTGTATTATATTTATTTATTATATCACCTTTATTATTTTTTATAAATAACTCAAAGGGGAAAACATATTTAATACTCCCTCTTCCTCCTATTTTCCCCGCAGAAATAACCCTATGAGATGAGTTGGGCTAAGAGACTGAGCAACTGGCCCAAAATCAACCTGCTCACATTGATACCTAAGGTGGGACTAGAATTCACTGTCTCCTGGTTTCTAGTTTGGTGCCTTAACTACTAGACCAAACTGGTTCTCTATATTGGGTTTTAGAGGTAGTTTCTAGCATCTTGAACTGCACTCAGAAACCTAGTGATTGGAATATATAAGTGAAAGAGGGAAGGCCCAGAGATAAAGCTGTAGGATAAAACTGGAAAAGCACAAGACAATATTTCAGGTTTACTGTAGAAATGCTTATGTAGTTTTCTTGACATGGAACATGGAATATCTTGCTAATGCGCTTTCCTGAGATGTTTTCCCAACTTCCCAGTCTTGCCTACTACACTTTGAGATTTCCTACTAGCCTTTTTACCAGTTCTAATCAGGACTGACTTTGCTTTGCTTTAAGATCACCAGAGTAGGCCAGTTGCTTCCCCCTGCTGTGGACAGTTGGTAAAACCAAGACCTTAATGGCATAATAATAGTAATAAAATAAGGGTAAAAGGAAATTTAACATGAATGATATTAAAATATTTTATCTAAAAGAGAGGATAGGGAAATATTAGAAAATAAACTTAGAAATGTATCAATTTAAGAGGAAATATACAGACTGCATTTCTTTTTGGAAATTGTTTAATTGTATCATTGTAATTACATTGTAATTACATTGTATCTTTATCACTGTAATTACAGAGGAATATAGGTAGTCCTTGACTTATGACCACGATTGAGCCCAAAATTTCTGGTGCTAAATGAAACATTTGTTAAGTGATTTTTTATCCCATTTTCTGACTTTTCTTGCAGTTAAGTGAATCACTGCAGTTGTCAAGTTAGTAACACAATTATTAAATGAAACTGGCTTTCCCACTGACTTTATGAGATAGTTTCAAAAAGTGATCACATGATCCTAGAATGCTGCAACCGTCATCAATATGAGTCAGTTGCCAATGTACAAATTTTGATCACATAACCATGCTGCAATGGTTATAAGTGCGAAAAACAGTCATAAGTCACTTTTTCAGTGCTATTGTAACTTTGAATGGTCACTAAATGAACTATTGTAAGTCGAGGACTACCTATAGTGTGACATGGAGCTTCATGAACACAGGAGCATTCATATAAATGATGTAACATGGGATTGGATTAGTATATCTCATTGTTTCACAGCCTGGCCAACTTTAAGTTGTATGGACGTCAATTCCCAGAATTCCCCAGCCAGCATACACTGTTATGTATTATGTGATTAAGATTAAGGAGTTGAGATCAGTAACACATTCTTTATATTTAATACATTTATTATACTGCTTACATTTAATATATTTTAAGTAGACATTTGTGTTTTATTTTAATTGTTTGGTTTATTTGATCACTGTGAAAGTTACTTTTTTAAAAAAAGGCTTCCTCAATACACTTTCAACAAATTAGGAGGAACACAACTGCACATGCATTCATTGATGTTTGTGTGTTTATAAACAATGCTATATACTGAAATTTCATCATTGCTGTTAAAGATACATGCGGGTTTTAAAAGAGCACATTATTATCCTAATTTGGATTTTGGATTTGTTCTAATAAATAAAGCCAGTTTGAAATAATGGTTAATGTGCTTGGTTTCTAGGAGACTGTGTGTTCTGGTCCTGCCTTAGGCATAAAAACGAAGGGTGGGTGACCTTAGACCAATTACTTTCTCTCAACCCAACCCACCTAACAGGGTTGTTGTTAAGGGAAAAAGAGGAGGAGAAAAGACTATTACATATATTGGCTACCTCAGGTTATTTGTAAAAAATAATAAAGGAGAGGTAAAAATATTGAAAAGAAATTAACAGACACTATTTTTTGCTTTTTATAGTTGATGTCCTCTTTCTCCTCAGCCTTACATTGCCCTCCAGTGGCCATATTGCTCTCTTTTGTTGGGTGTATTTTATCTTTTGATCCATATAGACGTGTACTACATGCAAAGGTGAAAATATATATCATAGTGAAGTTTTTCTAAATATAAAGATTTTTGCAACTATTGATAAGGCCGATTTTTACACTTAGAAGAGTGTCAGAGATAGTAAGTGAGCTGTGAAAGTAATTACAGGTAGTTCTCGACTTACAACTGTTTGCCTAGTGACTGAAGTTACAACGGCACTAAAAAAATGACTTATGACAATTGCAGCATCCCCATGGTCACATGATTTATATTTGGATGCTTGACAATTGACTTATGATGGTTGCAATGTCCCAGGGTCATGTAATCATCTTTTGCAACCTTCTGACGAACAAAGTCAATGGGGAAATCAGATTCACTTAACAACTGTGTTACTAATTTAACAACTGCAGTGATTCACTTAACAAATGTAGCAAGAAAAGTCATAAAATGGGGTAAAACTCACTTAACAAATTTTTCACTTAGCAACATAAATTTTGGGCTCAATTGTGATTGTAAGTTGAGGACAATCTGCAATAATAATTTGCTATGGAGAAGGAAAATGTTAGTTGACCTCGACTTGCATTTTAAAAAAGCCTTTTCCAAAGAGCTTTCTTTGAGCCTGGCTGCTTTAACCTAAGCCCAATTTTATCATTGGGATTTCCAGTGGAAATATTTAATTAAATCTTAATTCAAGTATATTAAATTTCAGTTTTGAATAATCTCCAAATATTATAGTTTTTGCTTTGTTTCTGCTCTGAATGATTGGAAAAATCATCTGGAATAATAGAAGAGATAATTTCCAGATAATTAGAGACTGTATGAGTAAAACCTTTTTTAAAATGGGAGTATTTTAAGTGGAACTCTATTTGAAAATCTTCCTAACAATTGAATAAAAATGATAGCATACAATTCCTGTATTCTTGGGGGGAAAAGGTCTTTTTTCTTTCATGGAAAATTTACAATTTGGTAACCACCTTTTAAAAGGTGTGCCAGTGGGGAAGATGACATACTGCAATTCTGTCATTGTTATCAATAATATATCGCTGTGTTCGTGGATGCCGGATCAGACATCTGGGGGGGGGGGCAATTTTGCCACTGAAAAAGTGTCAGAATGAGCCCACAGCTTCTCCGGACAGGCAACTGCAGCATCTAGAAAGAGGACGACTATGAGCCAGGCCTGCTCTCCTCCTAGCTCTCCCCCTTCCTGCCAGCCTCTCCCCCTTTCTCGCCCCTCGGTGTAACCTGACCCGAACTGCAAGCGCGCCAGCAAGGGCACCAGTTGTTGGCGGGCGGAGCCCCGCCGTTCAGGCCCCGAAAGCGGCCTCTTGTTACCCTGGGCCGCCGGTGGCTCGCCCTCCGACCCCCGGAGAAGTCGGCATGGCCCCCGGCTGGTGTTCAAGAACCTTCTTGCTGCTCCTTCTGGTGCTCGCCAAGTGTCGTGAGACGCTCGCAGGTAGGGCTCGACTTCCGCCTGCGGGCGGGCGGGCAGGTGAGCGAGCGCGCGGCGAATGGAAGCGCAGCGGATCCCTGCAGACGGGCTCAAGAGCCCCCGGATACGTCCTCGAGTGGCTTCCCCTTCGAGCTCCTTCCTGCTGGGCCGGCTGCCTCTGCAAAGGATGGGCCAGGCTACCAGAGTGGGCGCCTGAGGCGCGGCTTTGAGTGGCTGGATTCCGCGGCCCCACGTGCGTGCCGGCAGCAGCGCTTGAAGCGGGAAGGCAGGCTGGGCGAGAGCGGAGGCAGAAACAAACTCGCCCAAGGGGCCGGAGGGGCGGGGGAGAGCTTCATTCCTCAGCCAAACAAAATCTAAAAAAAAAAAGGGGGGGGGAAACCCTACTGGTTCTTTTGGACAAATGTCAGCACAAATCATTAAATTATGCTGTCCAAATGAATACACATCTGTGTAGACTGAACTTCCATGTTGTGCTGAGCATGCATCCCTGAATATTGGATCCATCACCAGAGAGCATTTGGCGCCGCCTACTTAGCCAGAAAATAACTCCTTTTTACTCTAATGACCTATGCTGAATTCTTGGTTTATGGTTTGTGGGAATCCAGGAAATTGGACTGAGCAAGCCAGAGCAAGTTAACTGTGGGCAAATGTGTGTTGTGAAACAGCCTCCTACGCCTAAATCATGGTTTGGAGATCAGAATGGCAACACCCACACAACATGCTGAACCAAAACCAGACAAACACTGTGGCTTAGGTCAATATATCAATATATCAGCCTAGCTATATGTGTCATCTTCCAATTACCACAAATCTTTGTCTTTAATGCTTCAATGGCTTCAGTTAGCATAACCAGTTAGGAGGAATGGTGGCAATTATACTATTATTATCTTCTCAGTTGCGCTGTATTTCCTCACTTTGGCAACTCAAGATATGTGACATTTAAGATAGCTTATAGCAGTGATTGCGAACCTTTTAGAGACCGAGTGCCCAAACTGCAACCCAGAACCTACTTATGCATCATTGGGTGCCAGGTGGGTGTGACCCATTGGGTGGGTGTGGCCCATTGGGTGGGTGTGCCCATTGGGTGGGCGTGGCTGCAGTGGTAACAGCAGACTTGGTGGGACTAAAAAGTTCAATCAATTCCAACTTTGTAAGATCTTTTTTTTCCCTTGAGAAGTTGAAATTGACTGATTGATTGAACCTTTGTTTTTTGTACACAGCGGCGGAGGCCTAAAGTGAAAAGGTTTTATAAAACCCAGCTGAAGGCCTAAGACTGGGGCAACAGCGTGCGTGCCCACAGAGAGGGCTCTGAGTGCCACCTCTGCCGCCCGTGCCATAGGTTCCCCACCACTGTCTTATAGTCACTCATGCCTCAGTCACCTGTTCAGATTATTATAAAGTCCTTTACATAAGGCTGCCCTTGAAGACCATTTGAAAGCTACAATTGGTCCAGAATGCTGCAGTGCGGACAGTGTTGGATGCTCCTGGGTTTTTCCATGTTATACCTCTGTTGCACAAATTGTAGTGGTTCACAGATTTCTTCCACCTTCAAAGTGTTGGCTATTACCTTTAAAGCTTTATATAGGATGGGACTAGGTTATCTGCAGGACCATCTCACCCGGAGAGTATCTGCCTGTCCCAGCAGTTCAATCACACTCCAGGTCCCTTCTCTGAAATCTTGCCGTCTATTGGCACATTGGAAGTGTGTCTTTTCCATGGATGCCATTCACCTTATGGAACACTCATCTCCTAGTGATACAGTAAACCTTTACTCTTTTAGTCTTCTGAGAGGCTATTAAAACCTGGGTTTTAGCTCAAGTGTTGTTATTGCATCCCAAAGGGATGACTGAGGCACAGGGTTGTGTTTTATATTTTATGGCTTGGTTTTATAGTTGTGGGGGGCGGGAGGTAGATAAGTTTTTTTTAAGATGGATAGCCATACAAATGTTACAAATAAAATAAAAGCCCAGAATTCCCTAGCTGGAATCCCAATTTCTGAGAATTTTGGGAATTGCAAAGCAAGCTAACTCCAAATACATGCTTCATTTATAGGAAAGGCTAAAAGAGCATTAAAAAGAGAGCTCAACAAGGCAGCACTATACAGTATAACACTTTACAAACTGTGTAATTTTTTTGAGCCCCTCCAACTGTAATTTTTTTGAGCCCCTCCAACTGTGAACCCAGGGAAAGGCATGATTCCTTTAAGACCCAAAGAGAGTGTCAGTGCTGGCTTTGAAGAATTTTCCCTTCAGATCCAAATAACTTCATGACTCTAGTGGAGAAGTACAGTGAGTGATGTTAATATTATCTAGATTTAGCTATATTTTCTTTTCTGATAACATTAATTTCTTTGGCTTTTATTTCTTATTCCTTTTTTGCACTTCTTATAACAACCACACAATTGGTTAATTTTTCCATGGCTATCTGTTCTTCATCTGGTCTTTCAGATCTTCCAAAGGTTGCACCCATGGCTGCTTTGGCTTAGTCCAGGGGTGTCAAACTGCCGGCCTGTGGGCCAGATGCGTCATGCCGAAACTGCGCTCACCCCAGCTCCGGCAATGGGGAAAAAGTCGTAATACGTCACAACGCGTCATGTGATGTTGTGAATTTGATACCCCTGGCTTAGTCCATCCAATTTGGTGCTGGTAGTCTTATTCTTTCCTTTAACATTTCCCAGCATGAGAGCCTTCTCTAGGGAGCTATGACTTTGCATAATATGTCCAAAGTAGAATAATTTGAGCCTGGTCATTTATGCCTCTAGTGAGAACTCGGTTGATTTGTTTGATGATCATAACATTATTTACCTGCAAAAAGAATAATCTGATTGATATGTATGTAAGACTTGGGGGTGGGAGTTGTTGCTAGATCTGTGAAAAAGTTTGATATTTGTTTAATGCATGTGAACTGGTTTATAGGCCACTTTAGTTTTTCATTCAGGAAAAATTGCATTGTAAGGACAGATTTCTGAGTTAGAGTCTGAATTAAACCATTTTAAACTTTACAATATTAAAGTCATGACTCAAAACTGTTGGCCTGTAGAAGATAGAAAATTTATTGCCACTTTTGAAAATGAACCGTAGAATGTAAATTAGTGTTTATGTTATGCATGTGTGTTTTCAAATCATATTTCATCAGAAGGTTCTGGAAACAAACCAGAACCATGGAAATCAATAATTGGTTTTTTCACTTGACTCTAATAGGATTTGGATTATTCTCCTTGTGCCTGATTTATAACTACATGCCTGTAATATGCTGAAAATGTTTTCACAGTATATCTGTTGACAGCCTTTTGTCCCTCTCACCCCTAAACACATTCCAGATCTGCTTCTTAAAAATTCCTGAGTTCAAACAAGAGCAAAGCACTGTGGAGTTGCATATAGGAGCGGGTCCTAGGAAAACTAATCAACATGTAACTGCAAAGCCTATAGCAGTGTTTCTTAACATTGGCAAATTTAAGATGGGTGGACTTCAACTCCTAAAATAGCTGGCTGCAGAATTCTGGGAGTTTAAGTCCACCTATTTTAAAATTGCCAAGATTAAAAAACAGTGGGCTATAAATTGAATGGCTAGGCTAGGCCTGTTCGATCAGGCCTGTGTCTATCTTTATCCAGTATTTTGTTTCTTATCAGGTCCAACTGTTGCCTCTAGAGCACTTACAAAAAAGAAAGGATCTCTCTCCAACTGTCGTTTGGAGATATGCTGCCCTTAACTGGGCAGTAGCATTGTAGCTTAACATTAATAACCCTTGAGAAATGTGCTCTCCATGAATTTCTCCTCTTCTTTAAAACCTTCCAACTCAGTGACCATCACACATCTTGAAATGAATGCCACAGGATACTTAGGTCTGAAGAATAAATGTCTAAATTTCTTACAATTTGTTTCAGTGGATGATCTCTAGTTTTAATAGTTAAAAAAAGGAAACATTTTCTTTTGGTCCACTTTTTCCAGTCCATGTATGTGTATACAGATAGTCCTCAAATTATGATCACAATAGGAAATTTCTGTTGCTAAGCAAAGCAGTTGTTAAGTGAATTTTGACCCATTTTATGACTTTTCCTACAATGAATAAGCAAATCACTGCAGTTGTTAAGTGAATCCAGCTTCTCCCATTGACTTTGTTGTCTGAAGCCAGCTGGGAAAGTTGTAAATGACAATCATATGATCCCAGAAAAATTCATGCTGGTTGCCAGGTGCCTGGATTTTGATCACTTAACCGTGAGGATGCTACAATGATTTTAAGTGGGAGCATGTCATAAATCACTTTTTTCATTGTCATTGTAGCTTCAAATGGTCGCTAAACAAATGGTTATAAATCAAGAACTACTTATACATCTCAGTCATGCTTCCCTTCCATCAGTTTTTCCCAAGCCAACATGCTCCATTCTTTTTTCATAGAGAAGGTATTGAAGATTATTTGGTTGCCCTTTTCCTTGCTCTATAATATCCTTTTTCATATTTATTAACAGAAATGTGCCTGTAATCCAGGTGTGAATATGACCATTTATTTGGAAGGACATTGCAATGTTCCTGTTTTCAGTTTCATTCCCTAATGATCCCTAATATAGAGAATGCCTCATTTTCATAGCTGGTTCACATTAAGTTTCCTTCACCAAGCTATCTTCTATGAGCTCAAGGTTTTTTTCTGGTCTGTTATGAACAGCTGCATGTTATGTTGGTTGAATTAACATATCCACCAAGCCAATATGTGGTGTGTAAAACAAGCTTTACAACTTGGTGTGTTTATGGACCCAACTGATTGTGGTTTATTCAGCCAGCCACAGTTATACACATTGTGACTTTGGAGATCAAGAGCTGCAATTAGCAGCTTCGGAGGAGCTAAAAGCTGCAGTGGTAGTAAAAGAAAATAAGCAAATCATATGTCATAAAAATGGCTAGGGCTGGAATTTTCGCTCTTCTCCCTAGTTCAGGGGTAGGCAACCTTGGCTCCTTTATGACTGGCTCAGAAATTCTGGGAGTTGAAGTCCACAAGTCATAAAAAAGCCAAGGTTGTCTACCCCTGCCCTAGTTTTGGGGAAACA